CATTATTTTTAGGCGTACAATCAGCTCCCGAAGTGGGTCCCACAAGTTACGAAACACCCTGTATAACGCTAATTGCTAATCGCCTCATCCGCAGACAATAGGAACGAAAAATCTCGCTTGAATAATCGAGTAGTCGTTACGCAGCGACGACGCGACGTCCAAGGCGAATATTATACGCTGGCATCAATTTGAATACTCGACGTTCGTTTCGAGGATCGTTTCATATTTAATTAAGTCGATTCCATGCCGTATAATATTCTTTACGGGATTACGTATACCACGGTAAATTGCAGAATTTATCGATTAGCCAGTGCGTTCCTCCGTGTTTCTATTGTTTGGGTAATTCCAACGGGATACACATACATACGTCAAAATTCGAGTAGAGAAGAGAAAAATAAGTAGAACCACGGAATGATGACTAAATTAAAATTATTAAATATTCATTTAAATAATTTAGGTATGTTTCGTATTTGTCGTTTCGTTCGTTTCAAATACAAAATGTTTTCGACACAGCGACATAATCGGGAAGATGGTAATACTACATGAAAAACTGGGTTAAAAAGAAAGAAAACAATTTTTACATTTAATGGCTTGTTTTAAAGAAAATCAAGTTTGAAAATTTATGAATAATGTATAATGAATAATGAATAATGAATTTAATGAACAATGAATAATGAACAGTTGTTTTAGTTATTCTACGTACAAATATAAAGGAAGAAATATATAATAAGTTTTTAATAAAACATAAAATAATACTATACATTTTTCCGAGAAAATTAAATTTTAAAATTTAAAATCAAGTACATGTCTATTAACTTCGATTAAGCTAATCTTTAATTGAATGTTTTCGAAGTTTTCTCTTTCACGAATTTTTCTCTTAAATTAAAAAATTTCACTATATGTTTTTTCATTTGTATTTATATTATTTATATTGTGTATTTATTATATTCGTTTCATTTTTATACATATTTTATATTTTTATAATAATTATTTATATTACATATTTTTCACATATATTATTTCGTACATAAAATAACGTTCTATCAACTATTTATTCCTGTCCAGTCTTAATTTAAACAAATTCAAGAGTGCTTTCTAAATTTACAAATTTAACTTAACGAAACTTTGATAAAAAAAACTCGTTGGAACCTGTTTTGACACCTATTATATATTTAATCGTGCTATTCATATTATATATCAAGTTTTTATTAAATATATGCTTACAATAAATCTCTTGTAACTCCTAAACTGATTTCAAATTTCACCAATATAACCATAATGAATCATTAATTTAATTTTCTCGAAAAAAATTTGCATTTCTTCTCTTTTGACTTATTTTTGCACATAAAATGATCTCCTTTTAATCACTTTTTCTTCTGGAATATATGAAATTCAAGTTGTACTTGACAAATTTTTGAACGCAATTTCAGAATTATTTTTCCACGTGAAATCGTCCCCATTCCAATTACACACCACCGGAACTGAAGCTTCCTAAATATTTTACATATGCAAAATTTTAATAAATTGTAGATTGTTTTAAAATTCGAAACTTCTGACGCGTTTACGTTACGAATAATTTAAAATTGAATATTTTACGATAAACATTCTCCTAACTGTCTCTCCGTATAATACATTCTACACGGACTAATTAAATGCTGTAACTATGCAACTAAACTTGTTGGCTCGCTTTTTGCGGGCACGTAAGTTGGTATAACTGTTAGCAGGGACGAACTAGAATACTTTAACTACAGAGACAGGATAAACTAAATGCACGATCTCGAAATTCCTTACCGATTATAACTCTTCTCTGTTGACGTCTCTGGTTCCTAGCTTTCTCTCAATTTCCACTGAATTAAGCCACTTATCGACGCTTGCCTGCTAACTATATTTCCTGAGAGAAAGATAATACGCGTGTTCTGTTGTTTGAAACTATCAACGACAAAAAGTATAGTAGATCAGGAAAACGAATGTGCAAAGAGTAAGAGAAAGTTTCTATAGATAGAATAAAGAACACAAGATCAGATTTTATTCATACTAGGTTAAATTGGACGATCAAATTTCAACGCTTTTCTTAAAGTGAGAAATAATATTAACCCGTTGTTACAGACTATTTTGACAGAAAATGCATTTCTGTATTAATATAGGAATTCAAGATATTAAATTTTTAAGTATAATTTTTAGAAATAAATGAAATAAAATTCTAAATACAAAATTGTTATTTATTTCGAAAATACGTATATATGATAAGTTTGATGTTAATATTTTATTTGTGTTAATGTTATTTTGATTCGCGAGATTTTGACAATTGTAACACATTTTTACAATTATTAAAATTAAACCGTTTAGAGTTGATCATTTTTTTGGTGCTTTCTAATCTAAATTTTTCACGCAGATTATCCTTTCTTTTAATTCATTAAGGATTGCGTTAATACAACATTTCATTGCAATATTTTCATATAAATTTATATCATCGAATTCTATTTCTTAATCGAATATACCTAAAGGAGAACTATAAAGGAGAATTCTAAGAATATTTTTCCATCATATTATCTTCCGTCTAAATCACACTATTTTATGAAATTTTTCCATCATATTATCTTCCGTCTAAATCACACTATTTTATGAAATTTGATATTTCAGTCATTCTTAAATTTATTATTTCAATATTTATATCATAATAAACCAGTTATTGAGCTTTAATCGACTAATCTAGCTTTTTAGAAATTTTGTGTTATGAAAAATTTTCTGCTTTATCGGGTTGACGTTTAAAATTTTATTAAAAAATATGCACTCGATTTCATGTTTATTCATGATGGATACAATGTAATTAATGTAATTAATTTCATAATTACATTAATTAAAATCGATGAAAACAATTTTTCGATACTGTAAATGCTTCCTTAGCTGCCTATAATAAGAAATATTCATCAATATAATTTTGTACAATGTATTTTATAATAAAATTTAGCTCTAATAATTTACTAATATGACCTTTGTCATGTTTAATATTTCATAGTAGCTCAAACGTGTTTTCACATACTTTGTAGAATACAAGATTTCGACGATAATTAAACTGAATTTTATTCTGTTATTCTTTGAGCCTCTTTACCAATTGAAAAATCAATATTAATAGACATTTGTAAGAATCTTACATTTTTCTTTTTAATAAATGTCTACTATTATAAATAGGATAAATTATTTTATTTTGAGCTGTTTTAGACTTTTTCTGTATGCTTCAGGATCACGCTGAAATATGATAATTCTAGAAATAACATATTTTTTACTGCATCTAATTAACTTTTAATAAAATATCTTCATACTTTGCACACGTATGTACACGGTTCAATCTACCATTTATTCGATCTTGCTCGTATGAAACTGAATCAACCAATATTTCTTGATGCAGACAAATAAAAAGTAACTTTATAATAATAACCGCAAGTGCAATTGTAACATTAGCATAAATTATGCAGAATTATCAAAATAGTTCTGTTAGTATACAAAGATCAGGACAAAATAAATCAATATCCATTACTACTTACAAACTGGGAAGAACCTTCTCCAAACTGTCAATAATAAAGGTAAATATGGAACAATTATACTCGAGAATCGGTTGAACTCTCCAATTATTCTGATAAATGAAAATAACGTGGATCGTTACGGTGAAATAATAAAGCAACTTGGATATACGAAAATCAAAAATAAAAGTACGTTCTTACGATAACTACATACTTTTCTTTCATATTCGTTACGTACGAGCAGTATGCAAAAGTGTACAGCAACAGTTTCGAAAAGTTAATTAATTGCTTCAGTTCAGGTATCCTATTTTAATTATTACAATATATAGTGGAGAATTTTTTTTAGGTTCTATTCCCGCGATGATGTTTATAAAAATTTTTTAAATGCATTAAATCCGCATCCTAGTTATTAATCTCAGATCCCTAAAGATTAGATCTGCTACTATATTTTTTGTATATTTCAATACACTCAAGATGAATGGAAATTACAATTCACATTTTTAAAAATGTAGTAGAAACGAGATATCATAGTTATTGTAACCAGAATGAAAAGAAATCATAGAATAACATTTTTTCACTAAAAAAAAAAAAAAATTTTTTTAATTACAAATGATGATTACAAGTGCTCCAAAGATATTTTATAATTTATAATAATTTCCATGAATACTAATGAGATGGATATCGTTAACGGAGAATTTTTAACGAAAAATTTCTTTATGTTATGTAATATCTTACAGAAAAACCTGCAAGTGCCAAAAGTGATGAATTTATTTCTTTAGGTTGTGAGGAAAATCGATTGAAGCCCATCTTGAAGAACGATTGATGCAAAATCTATAGCTATTAGACCAATTACGCGCACTTCGCTATAAATGCACAAATTGCAGAAACTGGAGCGCGGACATCGACTTAGGAAACGTGAAAGGAAAAGTCGAGACGGCGATGAAGCGAAGGATCGCGAGAACATACGTTAAGTTAGAGCGGTTGAAAAGGCGATTTTCTGGCACGTTTTCCGGAGACAGGGGAGCCGAGCGGTGGTCCACGGTGGTCAAGGGATCGTAAAAGGAACGAAACGAACCACTATGATCTACGTATGAGGCGGGGAAGGGGGATCTAACCCGAGCTTCACGACTTTACCCACTTTACATTAAAAGCACTCTCGCGGTTAATGGACGACTTCTCGTAAACGAACTCCGCTTGTGAATTATCGACGCTCGAATTTCCCGATGAACACGCTCCCTTTTCGATCTTCTTTCGGCCGGCCGCCTTCGACCCGACCCGTAAATTATCCTCGCCGATTAAAACTTTATCGCGGGAGCATAGTAAACGTCGCGCGCCGTTTTCGATAAGGTCCCAATTCCTAACCGTGATCCCTCTTATTCGGACCCCTCTTGTTCAACGAGAAGTTTTGAAAGAGGAACCAATCGAACGCGTAGACATTACCCGTGGATCCGAATTTGCCGATTCGTAATTCGTCTTCGGGAGACGTCTGAACTTTCATTTTGCTCGTGGCAAAAGGGATGAGATGATAATACGGCGTCCCAGCGTTTTCAGCTGCAGTTTTCTTTGAAATTTCGTTCGTAATCTGAATTATTCCAAACTTTTTTGACTTGCGATGCTGAGAAACTAATAAGCAGACTGCAGATGCTTATATTTTGTGCTTAAATAAATATATTTTTATACACATAAAAAATATTTTTAATATTTTAATATTTTTAATATTTTATATTATATACATACAAAATATTTTTAATATTTTTATATAAATATTTTGTATAAAAAATACTTTTATATAAATATTTTGTATAAAAAATACTTTTATATAAATATTTTGTATAAAAAATATTTTTATGTACATATTTTATATAAAAAATATTTTTATATATTTATATAGTTTATATATTTATATAAAAAACATTTTTGTATAAATATTATATAATATTTTTATATATTTATATAAAAAACATTTTTGTATAAATATTTCAAATAAAAAATATTTTTTTATATATTTTTATATATTTATATATTAAAGATGAATGTTGGATAGAGATCTATTACGTCATTTAAAAGTTTATTTTTCACATATTTTGCATACCTTTGCAAACGTTTTGTATTATAATAAAAAACATAATTGAACATACAATAATGAAAAATGGCTAATAGTATAAGCTGTAACTTCATGAAAGAAAATCATGTAAAACTCTACATAGTTTCATTTTGAAGCGTAAAGCTCCTATTTTGACTGTACTAAGTTCGTTTTTTCCAAAGATATTTTTACAACGTGTAGCGAAAAATGATAGTACTTTTATTCTCGAAAATTGTAAAAATTCAAATAACTGTAAAAATATTAAAAAATATTTTTCGTAACTCGATACACCATGGTTCTGAAAATTGAAATTTTCTCTTAATAATTCCTTAAAATTAGCTGTATCATATTTTTTTGCAATTTTCTCGAATTTTGAACATTAAAGTCGGATGACAAAATATTGGGATTTTTTGAATTTTTGTTGTTCAAAGTTCAAAAAATGAAAAAAATTCGTTGAAAGAAGATGGAATGGGAAATTTTAATCTTCAAGACCGTAATGATTATTAGTCCATCATAAATAAAATTTTTCAGTATTATTACATATGTGTGGATTCTTGTAATTTTTTTTTTAAAGAAAAGAACACCGTGCATGCGTTAATATGCATGGAACATAGTATTAAAATATCTTGAAAAAGAAAAACGAATTCAGAATAATAAAAACAGAAATTTTACATTTTAAAATTTCTTTTTTAACAGTTTATAACAGTTTAAACAGGTTATAACAGTTCAAAGTATTGACAATTTTTCATTTAATTGTAATACAAAACTGACTCTACGAAAATAATTTATATTTGCCAAGATAATAATGATAACAAGGTAATAAAATTTTTTTGGAAAGTCAAAATATTCTACAAAACAGTACATATTTTACTTTTTTTAATATTCTACATGCAAATAGTTGATAAAATATTATTAATGTTAAAAATTCATATGTTCAGTTTTGCTCATCACTACATATATATACATATTGTAACATTCACCATGCGTTCACCTCCAAAATAACTATAAAAATTATAATTATTTTCCTTTTGAAATAAAACAAATATATATAATTAATATTTTTCAATATAACTAATAGTTTCAAAAATATTTTAATTTCCAGTCTTAGATATTTAATCGAAGAATTATCATCTCGTGTTGACAATAAACTTGCCTTTGACTAATTTCCAATATTCAGAATAAGTAAATTCAGATTTAATTGGTTAAATTGTAATTTGATGATATTTTTAATCACTTACAATTTGCATCGCGACAATAGATCGGTTTCAAAATATCACCACGATGCGATTACTTCATTTTAATGGAAAAACCAATGAAAGAAAAAGAAATGATTTGCCTTGAGAGAACGAAAATGAAAAAAAAACATCGCTGAACAAGTTGAAAGCGATGTAATAAAAAGTTCTTTGGACGTACAGAAATTGCACGAGCTTTTCGACCAATCATGTAAAATCCAGTGAAATTAGTAATAAAGTAACATCAATCTATCTTACAAGGTAAAAAGATTTTCATCTGATAGATGGAGTAAGACGTTCGTATTTTTAAGATACACACGTATCTATTATACCGTTATATACACATGGAATATCAAGCTTGAACAGAATGTTCGATATTTATGAAAACAACGAATGTCCAAACGATAATCGTTAAGAGAAAATATTTCGATAGCGGGGATCTGCATGTGACCGAGATATATCCATTATTCTCACGGCCGCAGGCAAGCAATGTGCGTTTGCTATTGTCGAAATAGACACTGATTCCTTCAACTTTATCGGTTGTCCCAATAGCATTCGCTACGCTAGTCACGGGCAATACGGCGAAACCTTGATATAAAAGAGCACGGTTGAAGTTATTGGAAGGATGAACACGAAAATCGTGACTTGTGTTTGGACGAAAAACATCAAACGGCGCCGTGCACCGGGATCACGTCCAATCAAACGTGCAAGCTTGAGCGCGCAGTAATTTAAAAGCGGCATCGAGACAAGTATTAAATCGTTCCATTAAACCTATCCCTGTTATTTGGGTAAAAGAATTGTTTGTTTGTTTGTTCAACGATAGTCGATGGTTTGCAAAAGTGTAACTGTTCCATAGATAATAAAGAAATAAATATAGAATAAAACAAAGAGGAGAGATAAGAATAAAATAAAAATATAAGTATAGAATAAATATAGAATGAAATAAAGAGGATAAATAAGGAAGAGAAAGTTAACATTCTATACTTTATTATCCACCGCTATTATCCAAATACTAATATCCATAGCACGGTAATATAGTAGAATAACTCTTTTTGTATTAATTATTTATTTTGTATTTTCGATGTTTCTCATGTTTTTGAAGGAATTTACAATTAGTAAAATTTTATATGAGAAATAAGATTTTAAGATACAAGATTGCTAAATTTTAAGATTACTATGATAAGAATTTATTAAATTTTATACAAGATATAAAATTTTACAAAATGTGTGACTGTTAAAAAAAAAACAACGTTGATATACATGTACATAGGGGCTGTGTATTCTGTGATATTTCGATATTTCATTTATGAATGACGGAAATGTCTCATAAATTAAAAGAGCAAACTTCAAAGATTTGTAGCATGAGAAAAATGTAATTCTATAAAATTATTTTAAAAAATCAACTATTACAAATTAATAATCATATTATTATAATTTTACTTAATTATACTTTGCATATATATTTTAATTATAAAAGAAATTAAAAATTAATATAAAAGTTCAAAAAGTTAGATAATTTATTAGCATTATTAAATATTAGGAAAACTGATACTTTTCTTAATCTCATAATCTGAATACATGTAATTTAGTAAGTATCAGAAAGTGGTTATTTTATGATTCGAAAATTCCATTAACAAAACAGTTTTGTTATCTATTAGTTTAAATATATTAATATGATTCTACTATCTATTATAACTTAATCATTTTAAATACCTTTGTTCTTTTTGGAAATGTGAAAAAAAATTTTGTTAACGAAAATTATTTAATACAAAGAGGGCCATAATATGGCAGGAATGATTTTTTTTGTAGATGGAAGTGTTTCTGAAATTACTTTTATTTTCTTAATAGAATTATATATATTTTAATCCATTTTAATCAATGCAACTCAATATTCTTTATAAAAATACATTAATATATATATCAAAAAATTATTATTTTAATAAATTCATATTTCAACTTTATTTTATAAAATCTATGCGTGAAAGACAAGGATAATATGAACACAAGAATATTGCCCCCAGAATTACAATTAAAATATTTTATTAAAATAATGACTTTTCGATATACAATTAATATTTTTTTATAGAGAATATTCAACTCGATTAAGAGATCAAAAATTAATTTAAAGAAATGAAGTGAAAATCTTCGAAAAAAAAAAATCATTACCAATCATTACCGAATAACTTTCATTAACAAAGTTTTTTCATATCTTCAAAAATAAAAGGGATAATTGGGATGATAAAGTAAGATAGCACAATGCCTCAATCATCGAAATTTTAGTAAAATTGAAGGGTTTAAATAAAATTTAATTATAAGTTCTACTAATTATTAAAGTGTTACATATACACATATTAATAACTGACTAATAATTAATAACATATTAATAATTAATAATGAAATAGGTATCTTCTATCCCAGTTAAATTAAAATTACCATTCTTAACGAGTAGAAATAACAAGCATCAATTATAAAAGATATGTAATTGAAAAAATACTTCAGTTGAATCTATCAAAAATATATCGTTTATTTTGTATTATAAAAATAAAAATTATAAAATATACGAACATCGAAAAGAAAACGTGCTGAAATGAAAGCAAAAGGAGGAAGCTTAAACTATTAATATGTATGTCTGCAATACTATGTGTACTTTGCACTTATATAATGTAATGAGTGGACATTAATAGTTAATTAATAGTTAATAAAATTTATTATTATACTTCGTCTAGATTCTGAAAACTTGTGAAACATCGAATCCTAATTCAACAGATTATATGCATCTCTCAGCAAAAAAAAAAAAAAAAAAAAAAAAAAAAAACTCCACCGTGCAATTTCTTTCATAGACTTGAGAATAAACTACGAAATTTTAATGTAATATAGTTGGTTTCAAAAATTTTTTCACCGACTCGAGAATCTTCACAGGAAATTAGAAATCTCTCCCCCCCTTCCCCTCCCCCCTCCTTCCCGATCATCCTATCCTGGCAGCAAGTTCTGCTCGCTTTCAACCGCATAAGCGCATCGACTGCGGCGCATTCCTTGGTACGCGACGGTCGAAGCACCGGGTCGAAGGAAAATAAAGGGGGCCCCGAGGGTGGAGAACGACGTAACGGAAGAGGAGGAAGCAAGTCTGCGACGGTGCACGCCATAATTTGAATTCCGAGTGAATTGAGTTGGAGGCTTG